CTATGAGGGCCCAATTGGGCTATGTATTCTTCGCACAATAAATTTATTCAGTCTCCTGTAGAACACACTCTGCTTATGCCGTTTCAATGTTCTGCTCTCTTTGTTTCATTTGGGATAGAGAGCTCAGCGTGCACACATTTGTTCTTTCTTCGGAAACTAGTTTTTGTGTGTAGTGATGTTTTTTGTGGTTTGTTACGTGGACTCGTGTCATCTTCGTGATTGTACTTTTTCAATTTTTGATTGTGATTTTTATTGTATAGCGCATTCACGTGATTTTGATCTTGGTGCATGTCGGGGTGTAATGCTGTGAGTGACCTTGCCTTGGTCCATATCACAAGAAAACTACTTCCTGTATTTTGTGTCCCTCTCACGGTTTTTTTTTTGTAGCAGTAGGATAATGAGCCGCTTCTTGCACTGCTACAAACCTTAGCGCTGTCATTTTATCAGTGGAAGTTACCGTTGACATATTGTTCGTTAGCCTCATTGGCATACAGCTTTGGCAACCACCTGTGTGTGGGCATGGTGTGTGCAGTCTCAGAGTACCTCCATGGTGTGTGTAGAGCCCCCTTGCTTCCTTTGATGTTTTACCAACATGAATCCATCTTTGTCAACCTTTGCTTTGGTGTTGCTTTTCGGATTTGCCACGCTTTCTTTTATCCCAATATCTGTTGCTGAGAGGAGAATGCTGCCCATTTATTGCCAAGATGTGTCAGTTGTGTTTTAGCTGAAATCTGATAAAATGTTTTTGTTTGAAGTCATGGAAACATTTGTAATCTCATTGTATGATTAATTTGTAGACACAATCCACACCTAATTGGAAAATAATTGTAGTTTAGAAAATCACATTTTAAAACATGGTTTGAATTAGAAGACAATTTTAGTTTTGACAAACATTTTAAATATTTTTGAAACAACTATAGGAATGGTATTGAAGTCATGATAAGATTGTTTAGAATATATATTAGTAATTTGGCATTTGCACAAAATAGTGTATTATTGCATTATGTTGAATGGAATAAGATATTATTAAATCACCCAATAATCAATTTTTTGATTTGATTATATTGGCATAAAAACAACATTGTGGTTACTATCAAAATAAGCCCAAGCATTGTTAGTTTCTACAAATTGTGTTGGAAGGACCAAACATTTTAAAGACTTCATAGAGAAATAAAATACAAAAGTAATTTAAAAGAAATATATCTAATCTGTAGGTAGTTTTAAAAAAAATTAGAATCTACTAAAAAATTAATTAAAAATCTAAAGACAAGTTTTAGTGGATTTGAAATTTATCTAAGTAAATAGAAGTTGTAAAAACTAAGTTGAAGTTGAAAGAATTTTGTTAAGAAGATAAATTCTTTTTAACCAATAGTAAGAAAAATTTAGAACTTCTTCTTAAACTGATGTTGTTACTTCTTTACTATGTTTTTTTCACCATTTTAAGATCATTTTTTTTTTGCTAATAACTTTGTGATACTTGACTTTATTCATCTTGTATTCATTATTTAATTTTGTATATCATTCTCATTTCTTGCTTTATTATAGTCTATTTAGTGTAGTATTATAATTATAAATATTATGTACGATCTCTTGTATTTGAATTATTTGTACTGATGGAAGTCTCTCTGTCTATTA